GCAGTTTCTATTTCTAGTAATAACAGTAATAATCATTGTCTGGACAATAAAATATACAGTTAACCACCTTCATTGACAGAGAGATTAGTAATGGTAATCAATGACGTCACAGAGGTGTGCAAATCAAAGGGATCCAATATCTCAAACAAGCGATTTCTGTGGAAAATAGAGATAGTTATAAATAGAGATTACAACACGAATGTCTGTCATTTATCTATCAGCTCGTTGTTAGACAATGGTGCCTGTCAAACAGATACGAGTGCAATAACCGCTTTATTACAAACCTAACTGCACTGATTCAAAGCATATTTAGTCTATTCGAATGATCGCAGTAGCGAATTGATACATAACGCAACGATCATGTGTGATGTCATCCGGCTCACATATCCTACCAAGTGTGACCCTCCACAATAAGATTACATCGTTATATGTGGATTATCAAAGTGATTGTGATAGTGCAAACTAGGTAAGATGGAAAACATCTATAGACACTCTACAGCCAGACACATATAAATTCGGCCGAAGCACATACTTTTGTGTGTGCCGCAGATTAAATTCGTGAAAATACAGCTATTCGCTTCTTTTGGGGGAGAGTATATTAGCACTGAGTAACATCTGACACAATATACATGGGATATATCATGTATGTACGCACAACATGTGTACATAGGTGGCGGGCACATCACTTCATTGTTGCTATTTCTAATATATTCATGACTAAAGTATGAGACCATACAAGTCAGTAACAACGATTAACACATTTCAGTCGATAATTTAGACTGTAAAATGTAAAACGGAAGCACATATGTTTCTACATTTATCTTGAAATGAAGCAACCGTTCTTGCACGTACAATGTTCTGTAATTCATTTCCTCCAAACACAAATAATGTGGCCTTTCCAGAGCATTGCCTTCATACAACCCTATGATACGACAGTAGATTACTAATACTAATAGCTTGGTTGAATAGTGTTCAGAACATTGACTGGTCCATAACATCGCTTTCATTCATTCAGGAAGATCGAAAACATATCATCTTCTAATGGAAAATGACAAAATACTCTGTTTTCTGATGCGTTTCCTCTTATCAGCAGAGCTATTCGACTGTGATAAATATGCCACATGAGTTGTTTTAGGCAACCTATCAACTAAATCATGCAATAAACGTCCGACTATACTTAAGTACAGCTGTAGTTGTACTGCTCTTACGTCCAAATGTGCGTTTATCCTTTAAAGCAAACACTGGACAGAATAGCCCTTTAGTTGATGGTGAAAATCAGATGTCGTCATGACGTCATTCGGTAATACTGCCTTTGATCAAATCTATTCAGTCTACTAGTCTATTACAAACTGTACATACGACAAAAAGACACGCGAATGTCTTCTGAAGCCAAACGGCAGCAGAAGAAATATTATGTGAGATAAAAGTGATTTGGAGATATGGCATGCAAGATACTGTAAATTGAGATATATCCGTCCTAGACATTAGAGCAGTACATGAAAGGATGTAAAGGGCTATGACACAGAGGCTGATCCTGCCCTACACAGTGCAGCAGTATCCGACGGTCGTATAGGAATGCGGCAGCGATGGGACTATTTCCCAGACAGACTGGAAGTATAAGAAGGAACATTTCTTTGTCATAAGGATGTCAATGGTCAACATTACTACACGAAGCCGTGCTGGCAATGGTAGAATGTTATTCAGAAAGTACTTGAGGGAAAATATCACTGCAATATTGACCTGCTAATTAAACCTGTCCAAATGCTTCTTTATTGTAGCAAGTTCCCGGTTCTCAATTAGATGTGGGCTTATTCTGTGACAGCTTATGAAATAGGCTTGTGTTTTGATAGAGCTTTGCCATTATTGGGTGATAAGACACGGCTAATATGGCGAGGAGATGGAACGCGAGCTGTCAACGAACGTGAAATCGAGCATTTTACTTGTCAATTACCTTGTCTGGCAGTCGGGAGTTGGAGATAGAGATAGAGGCTATTAGTGGTCACTGAGTGGTACAATTAATTAGAAACCGAATCTATCATTACAAAATCACCTAAGTCAGGCTTGATGCAGAATTAGTTGTGACTGGCGACAGCGTAAGGCAGCTTGGCTGACGTGGTACTTGTCAACCTCAGGCTATGTTCATCAATTTGGTTGGCAGGACACTTCACAGCTTTGCGAAACGCCCTTTCAAGACATTTAAATGATACCACGAATTCATATCATACAACATTGCCTGAAAGGTGTACAAGATACATTGATGTAAGGTGAACACAACTGTGATCTGGAGGTATTAAACTACAGTTCCATCTGTTAACAAATAATAACTTCTTTAATTATTGGGGAATGTTGACCAATTTCAATATGTTGACATAAAATCTAAACTAGACCCGTACGGCAGTGTGAATGTCATCTGAAACCACACAGTCTCACAACTGATTACTAGAGCACTACAGTAAGATTTAATCAGTCGGAACGATGTTGTAGCTGATCTCATATTAAATTAAAACCGACTTTCAGGGACCCATGACGACCATGCCAAGTGAGTAGTTGGGGTAGTTTGGTGCAGTTAAAAGTCTGACATATATTCTGACATATATTTACGTTACTATCCCATAACATTCACCTTTTTGTATGTGTCCTTGTTTGTTGTTGATGCTGAGCTTTGTAATAGTCCAGCTATATGATGACGGGCTGAAATATTCAAGTGAGGAGGACCAGACAACCCAGTTATCGATACTGTTAGCCACAAACATCGGTACACGATGACATTACATGTCTTCATCCCTTCCGCATATTCTTGACCATATTAGAGGGTCTACATACTACATAGTTGGTGTACGCGTACAACACTTTGTCTAACGTTTTGAATCTATGAACAATATCTGTAAATTAGCAAGTGTCTTTGGTAAAACGGATACAACACTTGGACCAATTAGATAGAGTTTAGCATCGCTCATAGGGTTTAAACCCAGGTTGCTGCCTATCTTTTGCAACTTCCTGGTATCTGATTACATTATTGGAAACACATGTTGACACAAGGGCAAAAGGAATCTATGCTTTGACCAGGGCTCACGGTTACCTTGTTATGACAGAACACAGATTCTGTTTCTTTACCATCATAATGTTTCTTGTACACATGATTTTAAATGGTGTAACTAATTGTTTATTACACAAGTATAATTTTAACATTTGTATACTTTCTGTTGTGTACTAAGCAAAGGGTGTTGTTTTTATCTGCAGTTTTCGGAAGCTAATCATCAGCTACCGTCTTTATTAGTACACAGTGGTACAATGTTCCCACTTAAATAGCGTTGCAAAGCTGCAATATAGAGATACACATTGACTGGCGAGAGTGTTTCAGTCTAATGTGATTCTCACCGCAACCGTTAGAGATATTTACATTAAGATGGTAAATACGGCTGTGTAAGTCGTGGTCTTAAGTTTACCGTCTCATGAAAATTAAGTCCTCTCAGCCTGCTGGAAAGTTTGCATCTTATTAATTTCATAAAACCATAACTGGAATGAGCACTGCAGATTCTTAACACTGCAATGAAATCGTATTACCTATTTTGCTTGGAACATCAAACCCACTACTTCTTGAGTGACTCTTGATCTGTCATACATTGGTATGGTCTGAACCATAAAGAACAACAGGAATGAGAAATCATCTTCCTAAACTGTAAATATAAACAACATTCAAATTTTAAACCTTACGCATAAAAGAATGTACCTTAGGATCTAGTTTGTATTAATCCTTTTCATAGAAACGAGTATATTTTGCTTTCAATTTCGTCTCATACCGATCTGACAATTAGATAGAGTGGCGAAAAAACCACGAGGAAATGTCAACTGTTTCAGGTTGTGAGACGTTTGTCAGTATTAAAAAAGTCACCTTTCCAATCAGCCAGTCAGATAACACAAAGCATATATTCAAAAACTGACTTTCATCTTCAGAGATTGAGTTTCAACAACGTTGGCCAATGAACTCACACAAAGTTAAATTCACTACTTTTCACCTATTATTTTATGCCTTAAAGGATGTATTACACAATTTCATTGAGGGCCTGTAACTTTGTGTTTACGCCAACAGTCATACAACAACCAGCTGTAACTCGAAGCCAAAACGGCGCTATGGGGTAGCCTAGTCGTTAAAGCGTTCGCTCGTCACGCGGAAGACCCTGTTTCGATTCCCCAATGTGAACGATGTGTGAAACCCATTTCTGGTGTCCTCTGCCGTGATATAGTTAGAAGATTGCTAAAAGCGGATTGTTCAAAAGAGAGGTTAATGAGCTTAGTATGCTCAAATTGCTGCACAGATTCAAATTTACCATCATTAGATGAAACAAAGTGTCTTTCAAAATACCCCAGTCAGGTAAAGTGACACAGCGTCCTAATACATTTACAGCAAATACCGGACGACAAAATGGCTGACACGATCAACGTGAGAGGTAAAATTTGTAGTTGTTTCTTTTTCATCCCCTGTGGCAATTACAATTCTTGTATATTACACTCCACTGAAAGACGATTACAATTCTTGTGGATTACACTTCACTGAAAGACGATTACATTTCTTGTGTATTACACTTCGCTGAAAGACGATTACAGTTCTTGTGTATTACACTTCACTGAAAGACGATTACATTTCTTGTGTTCGTGCCTGTGAAGTACACAGGAATGTTGAAGTAGCCCGTCAATGTTTTCATCATTTCAAGAATACGGTCACCCGGAAAACGTGTAATCGCATAAACGTCAGTTTTGATGTCATGTGACCGACCTTCAGTGGAGAAGCCGTATACCGTGTAAAATTCACATAATAAAGCATAAGTCAGTGGAGAAGTAGTATTTTTGTGAGAGAGAGAGAGAGAGAGAGAGAGAGAGAGAGAGAGAGAGAGAGAGAGAGAGAGAGAGAGAGAGAGAGAGAGAGAGAGAGAGAGAGAGAGAGAGAGAGAGAGAGAGAGAGAGATATGAAGGTGTTGGTGTGGTTTGTTTTTTAAACTTACCTGCGGGGGAGAGAGAATGTATCCGTGGCACCGGCAGAGCTTGGTGGGTGCGACATTACTGCTGACAAAGTACACAAAAATATACCTATGAAGCAACAGAGCTGACGTACATCATTCGAGGCCATGTTCCCTGGACAGTTCGTGTGGACGGAGGGAGGTGAGATGCGCCAGCCGGCCGCCACTGCCCTGCGTTCTGTTTAAATATATAGCCAGTTCATCCTTAAGGGATTGGTAGCAATTAGGGTCGATGAAGCCACATTGCGCGAAATCGTCCAGATGGGCGGGGCAGACTTGTTACCTGTATGTGTACATTAGCATACAACACGCACAAACGGAGTGGGGGTGATATTGATTCGGCTTGGGGAAAAATTGGATTCTGATCAATGGAAACTGTTTTATCAGTAATTTACAGTTATCCAATACCGTTATATTACCTGCAGTGTAGGAGTTGCCTTGTTGCATCAGCCACCTACGGTTTTATAACTGGCAAGACATATGTGTAATTAAACCTTACACTGGATTGTTCTGTAATCTTAGAAGGTAGTGTCACTGTATCACCGAAAACATATCATTTCGCCGCGCATATTGTAAATGAAGTGACTCCCCTAAGCCTCGTCTCCTTGATGTTGTACCCGGCTCGTTGCAAACACACACTTGACTGAAACCAGGTGTACTTAATACTTGGTACACCTTTGATGAATACGAGCTGTTCAGAAGCTAACATTGTAGCACTCTGCGTAAACCAACCCATATAATACAAGTTGATAGTGGTGCAGGTTATGTAGATGTAATAGCAACTCTGGCCTCAGCATAGCCTTGTTATGATGTCCGGAAGACGGAACATCCACAGGGCTTGAGAGCATAATACGATGCATATGTACATGCATATATCGTAGTAGCTAACTTAGCATCAATTAGAATTTCCCATGTCAGCTTCATGTCAATTTCAATTCAAGATCTCAATTACGGTGTTTAAGTCCAGTGTTACAAATGATTCTTTATCTCAGACTTTGTCCTCTCTAACACATCTGGCTTGAAAGTCAATATTAAAAGTTTTGAGTTTCTCTATACCGGTTTGAATTTGTACATTTTTTGAAAGTGCATGATTTAGGAACTATTTCTTGAATTGATCATTCGATACATTGCTTTACATTAAAACAATATTTCAAGTAACTGCGTTTAATTATTGACACGGGTAAAACGAGTATGGCCAAATTCACATCGTCGCATTACAACTACATCATGTCTGCATCCAAAGTCGGTATAACCTAAAGTTTGATTTCATGACGTTTGTTAATACCTGCTTGTGTGTTCCACTTTGTTTGTATTAACTGTCGGATATATTCTCTGACATATAGCAGTTAAAATCAGAGTAAGATATCAAAAGTGGAGAGACAGATTTGTCAAGAGCTGCTCCAGCTGCATCATCAGCTATTGTGGTGCCAGCCATGCCGACATCACTCGGTAACCAACAAATTGTCGTATTGATCAGTAGAAAGATCATTATATAACTAAAATTTCAAGAACATTTTTCAGTGCCTGAAGGCATGACAGGGAATCAGAGATGACGATAAATTGTATACTATTTGATTGATGCTGAATGTACTCCAACGCTGCCAGAATAGCCTTTGCTTCAACAGTGAAAATTGAACTATCGTCTGGTATTCTGAAAGATGTTGTTTTAGATCCAATGACAGTAGCAGATGAGCCCTTGTCACCATCCTTGGTCGAATCAGTAAATACAGAACAATGGGAATCATATTTCATTCTCAATTGCTGATATTCCTATTTGTAAACCAATTGATTTGTGCCTGATTATCTAAATTTAGTCAGAGTAATGACTACTTCTGGAATAGGAAAAAGCTCTTTATAGTCCTCGCCGTTGTCAGAATGAAAATTACTTATTTGTTTTCTTGGTCTGCAAATTTCTAAACTTTTAGATATATAATTCGAGGAGGAGGAATGTTCTGCTAATGATTCTCAGAGATTGTTTGCTATATCTGTTTGATGTATCTGTTACCCGCCTTTAGATGATGAACACAAGACCTTTAATGTACCTTTAAGATACATACTAACTATCATATCTTGATGAATGTGAAGTTAGAAAGTGGTCACTAACAAAGGTCATCACGAACTGACCATGCAAATTTATTGAGTAACCTTGAATCTAAAAGGGACAAATAAAGTGAGGAGTATGTGGGATGCAGGGTGTAGGTAGGTGTGTGAATCATGATTTCAAATACATAAATCATTATTGTCAATAAACTCCACAACGACTGTGCCCATTATGTTTGTGTGCGAACACCGCCCCGGAGTGGATCATGTTCATTTAAATCGCCCATGATGATACATCAAGGCGAAACATATAAACAGCTCAATGTAAACGTCATTGTTTCTGGTGCAGGAACATCAACAGCTTGGAGGTAAATGTTGAGTGAAGTGGGACTGTGGATCACTACCGACTCACCATGTTAGACAAACCTCCAATTACCCTATCGCCTAATGGAGTAAAACAATGGTATGAGCTGTAGGTCAAGTTTACCCGGCTGTTCCAAACACGTCGCTTGTAGACAAAATGCTGATGGTTTGAATTCTTGGGCAAATGATTGTAAATCGTTAAGATGTGTCCACTACAATTCCACAGGTTGAGAGTTGATCGTCTCTAAGGTGCCCTGACTGGAGATCTGGCTCGACCATTTGCTTAAGCCGACAAACTGTTATAAAGTTTAATGGGATCATCTGATCGTTTTGATGTTCTACTACCCTGCGGTTTGCGGTAAGATGCAGTCTGTTTTAAATCTTGTGCTTACAGAATGTGCTGTTGGTGACGTAAACCAGATTTTCGATTTGACAAGGGTTGTATCACACAAACAGGTAGACGTCTGTGAAGCTGGAAATGGATCATGAGACTACATAGGTAATTTAGATGGTACGATTGGCTCATGATGGACAGAATGTACCCGTGCCAACAAGAGCAGAACGTTAACGCATGTAGCCGAGAGACAAATACTAGGAATATACGGATAAAATAGACTTGTAGTAAGTGCACCAACGTGAACCCTAAGTCACTACGTTCTGGCACCAACTTCTAGGCAAAAAAACAATTCTCAAGATTGAAAGCAACATGTCATACAATATATTCAGAAACAAACACGTCAACAACATATCCAAAACAAAGTCATTTCTACCGCCCGTCTAAGAGACGTAAATGTCTGAGTGGTGTATTAATATTGGACAAAGGAACGCTAGTCACAGGTGCGCACCGACACAGGTGCGCAACGAACGGAAAACACAGGATTTGCAAAAATAGACTGTTTCCATAGCCGACAGCAAATAGTCTAGTCTTGTCCCAATGATATAGTTTTCTTGACAGACCCTCCGACAGCTCGCCTAGTATTTTTGCAAATCCTTTTCTACCAACCAATACGTTTGTCGCTCGAAACAGTCTGTCTTCGTTCTCTCGAAGTAGGAGTCGTGTTGTCGTAGTACTCTTTCTAGCCCCGCCGTAGATCAAACAGTGCTTGTTTCGCCCATTGGCGATTGGAGGACGATGCGTGTGGAATGGTTGGTGGTTTGGAAGCCGAGAATACCGTATCGACCGGCTATTGCCCCTACTTTGTTTGTATCCATACTGCGGAGAGCATTTTCCACAAGCAGTTGGGATTGTCTTCGTTTTTGGATGTATGCTGTGGCTTCTGCGAAACTGTCTTGCAGAGCTTCGATCTCTTTTTTGTGCATTTTTTTCTGCCTCCATTGCCATTCGATGTGTGGAGTTGTCGGGAGAAATATGTCTGGATCCATGCCAGATGGATGTAGAGCTGTTGGCTTCTTGCTCTCAGCTAGCACTGTCTTGGTGTTCTCGCCTTTGGCATAGCATCGGAGTGGGCCTAGTTCCACTGTATCTCCTTCTACCGATAGGATGTTCACACGGAATATTGGAACCCTTCGAAAACCGAAGTCTCCTATGGCCCAGTCGATGTTTTTGTCCCAGGATTCTGTGTTGGTTGGACGAATGTGTACTCCGGACATGCGGCCTGTTTTCGAATGTGCGTACCACGCGACAAAGATCGTTTGCTGTGGACGGTCGGCTCAGACCAAACAGCGGTCTATCTTTTCTGCGAGACGAAGCCACTGCGTTGCTGCTGGTTGTACTACGAATAGACCGTCGCCTGCTGGCGAAACCCACTCCAACACGTCTTGCAAAACGTTTTCTGCTCTGTTGGTGGACATGTCGGTGCCTTGGCAGGCGTACAGGGACACTTCTATGCGAGTGCAACCTCGTTGTTGTACGTCTGGGTGGAGACAGGTTTTCCGGAGATGCTCGTTTGGACAGTCCACATAGTCGGCAAGATGGCCGACAATTGGTTCTCGGATTTCTCCTGTTTCGAAGTTGCAAACAACTTTGTTGTACAGCTTGGTGCGCATCGTTTTGCCGGACTTTGTTGTCTCTATCCACGTGCAAACATGGTTGCCGACCGAGTGGGTGTTGTCCAGGATGGTGGGTTTTCCGCTTTCGATCGCTTCCACGAGATCGCCTTGCTCGACAAATCCATGTTGGCTACAGAGGAATTGCACGAGCTGTTTGCGGTCTAGGACGCCGGAATAGTCTCGGGTGTAGTCGATGCTGTAGATCCCCAGTCCATTGCCTTGTAGTTTTGTTTCTAGATAGGACAATTTCTCTTGGAGTTGGTCGATCCCGATTTCGGAGACGTCCACTTTGGCCATGAAGACTGCAAAAGGGGTTTCGTCGTTTTGGGCTTTCCATGCTCGTAGCGATTTTTGCTGGGTTTCCCTTTCGATCTTTTGGATCGTGCTGGCAATAGCTCCTGCACTCGTCTTTTGCACCGTGTGGAGAAGTGTCGCATACATTTTGGTGGCTTCGGTATGCTCTTTGTAGGTGGTGCGTAGTATCCAGTGGAGTAGTCCGACAATTTTTTTCGCGTGGCCGTGCTCTCCCGTCGTACACTGGACGTTTCCTTTGTGCTGCACGATGTCTTTACGAGATAGATAGCCAAACACGTAGAGGTCGTCGACAAAGGCTGGAAGACCGCAGAGTGGTTGCATGTGGGTTTCTCCGAGATTTGCGGCGAGATAGTCTACCATCGAGATATCGGACACTAGGTTGTTGTTGTGCGTGTTTTCCAGTAGGAGGTGGTGTGCGATCGATTTGCTG